GAAGAATTAAGTCTTGAGGTACTCTAAATCGTGAAAGTCAAGTCAAGTTTTAGAGCAATTTCTTCATACTTCGTTCAGGTAGTTTAAGGCATCAATTCTTCTAACTTAAATTACTGGAATGATATATGATGTTCATTGATGCTTGTTGATGGTTTAATTTTGATTAATTGATACATTTGATGCATCTGGTTTCGATTTCAAAATTTTTCAAAACTTTCTGTTTTTTCTCAAATCGACTGAGCTACAAGTTAAATAAATTTTTCGCGACGATACAATTGTCTTCGTCTTGATGGGACTAAGCGATTGACATTGGTTTATACCTCTAATTTTTCCATTTGAAGAATCACGATTTCCATGTTTTTTCTAAAAGGTGGAGGTTGAAGACGATGACATGTTTCGTCTCAACCAATCGGAGTGTGCCAATTGTTTTATTTTGATTGGCCCGAATTTATTTGATTCTGTGTTTTCTTGCTAAGGTCCATATCAAGCACAACGCGTCAGGTCCATTGGATATGTTTATTAACGCGTTTTGACTATGATCCAATGGTCTACATTTTGTTTGTTTATTTTTATATTTTCTGATTTTTATAATTGATCCGGTGTGTTATTCAAGAGAGACCATAACATGCACAACGCGCCAGATCCCTTGGATCTGATTACTAACGCGTTTTGACAATGATCAGATGTTTCACATTTTTGATTTATTATTTTCTTTTCTTTTTTTTTAATTGTTTTAAACTTTAAAAATCCATAAAAAATCATTTCAACTTCTAAAATTGTGAAAAAATCTCAAAAATACTTTTGATTTTTCTCTTTCTGATTTTTATTTTTTCACTATTTTATTTTGTGATTTGATATTTTTTATTTTATTTGATTTATTTTAATTGTTTAAAAATACTTTTCTTGATTTTTAAATTCTCAAAAAATTATGGCCTCTTGTCAATTATTGATAACCTTATTTTATTTTTATTTTTGATTTTACTATTTTTTTCACAAATTTTGGCTTATTTTGCTTAATTATTTACATTTTAAAAATAGTTTCTAACTTTGAAATTTTTTGAAATTTTTTGTCAATACTTATTGACTCATGTTTGACTTCTGATATTTTTTTAGGATTTTTATTTGATGTTTTAACACATTTTGTGTATTTTACCAATTATTTCCCTTTTACTAATCATTTAAATATTATTTTATTAAATACTATTTTTAGTATTTTTTTGATTAGTCCTGCTTTAGGTGTTATTTTGAGGCAAGTTTCTCAACTTCATTGGATCCTGGGTGTTGATAGGTTACAAAACCAAATCCACCAAAATGGATGAAAAATATTGATGATATTTGAAACCCTAATTTCATCTGATACATTCCCTCCCTCCTCATCTTATCCCTTTTTTGTTTTTACTTGTGCTATATGTTTTTGTAGGATGATCTACATATCATTTCTCTAACATGTTGGTACATAGATTGTTATTGTCCGACCTCAAAATAGGTGTAACTTCTACATAAGTCCACTTACGATTGCTTAACATAGCACTAAATTTGTCCCGATTCGAAAAGTAATCATTTGCGACCCAAACCTATATTTGCAATCCCAAGTATGTTTAATTTGAAACCTTTGATCCAATAACTTTGAAGTTAATTGTTAGGAGGCTTTTTTTCTATCAATCCTCTAATGAACTTCATAAATTTTAGTCTAAGTGAATCATTTGAACATCGTTGATCACATGTGTTTGCTTTGAGCATTTGAAATTAATGATATACTTGATTAAAAGCAAATGAGATTTATTGTTGAGAAGCTTTGATTTTATCAATCTTCTAATGAGTTTTCAAATGCAAGTTTCAAGATGGTCGTTCAACTAACCTCCAACTTCTAATTCACTAACAATTGACTTTAATTTATGCTTTTACTTTATGCCTTTTGTTTTATGTCTTTACTTTTATGTACCGTTTACTTTAAAATTTACATTCCATGCCATTTTTCTTTTGTTCTTGAACATTTATCTTCATGTCATTTTATCTTTGTTCATTTGAGCTTTTATTTTCTTTTGAAGACACTTAATAACCAACTTGAACATTAAAAGCCTTAAGGTTACTTGGACTATTTGATTACTATCCTTGGTATTATGGAGTTGTAGACCTCTCAGACTTAGGATTATAAACCTTGATATTTTGGGACCTTGTTGCTCTATTATTAATCTGTCTGATGTTCTTGGAGTTTACTCTAAGCCATTGGGTTGATTTTCTTTATGTGCGAGGTATTCTAATTATATGCTTTGTCTGTGATTGAGAATTCCTCTGTATACAACCGTTACTCTGTCCAATTTTTGTGAAGACTTAATTCATCTGAACCTTGGTATTTCTCAGAGGTTTAGTATTTTTGCTTGCTTGATTTTCAATCCAAAGAATGAGAATTCTATATTGACTTCATATGTCAAGTGTTGGCTTCTTACTGGTTAGATCGTTCTTTTCCTTGGCTTTTACCTTATGCTTTAGAATAGTCCCTTCATCTCCTCCTATCTTCTTTAATTTCAAAAATCTTCTCCCTCCTTTTCAAAACTCTTCTTGTTTTCTAATTTGAACTGCTTTCTTAATAAACTTAGACTTAAATCCATGCATTTTTAAAAATCTTTTTCTTAATCAAACTTTAATCAATTTAACCATACTTTGACATCTTTTTGAAAGACTAAAAGTCATTAACCTCATTCAAACGATTTTGCCACTTTGGCTTTTCACTTTAAAACCCTTTTCTCAAAAGACCAGACTTTTGTCGATTCTTGTAGTGATACGAGCTATTATACTTCTACGATATGTAGTAAAGTGAGATATTTTCCACTTGAGTGTTGAGTGAAGCTTTGTTGATTTTAAAATCCAAGCTATATCCTCCACTTTGAGATGATGCAAATTCTCCTTTCTCATAGTCGTGGGTAGTAAGTATATTTTCCACTCGGATATGACGATGATGTCTCTTCTCTTAAAATTAACCAACACACATGTGTTTTAAAATTTTTGAGGTGAACTACGAGTATCCTGATCCTCTATTGCACGAAAGGTGATACATAGACACTAAAGGTTCGCAACCGCGGACGGTGCAAAAAATTATAAAAAATAATTATTTTCTCATCTCCATCATCTATTTTTGTATATACCTTTTATAACCAGAATACACAACATTTTTAAAGAGGTTCCTGCGGAGTACCGTAGATGTTTAGGGTGCTAATACCAACCAACCCCCGTACCTAGACTCTCTCCCCATTTTTTTGGGTTTATTTGCTAGTTTCCCATTTTCTTTGGAAACAATAAAGCACAATGTGATTTTTATTTGATCTGTGCGAGTTAAGTCAATCCAATAACTTAGTCTCAACATTTCTACCGCTACACATGATACCCGTGGTTTGACATTTGGTACCCGGTCCGCCCAATTAAACCCCCTTAAACCGTCTTATTAAATCGCTAGACCAATTTGATCCATCAAACACGTTCATTTCTCTCTATTTTTTCGATTGCTAGTGGGTTGGGTCAAGTATGTGGTTTTTGTCCAACCCTACATATCAACCAACAATCTCTTCATAATTTTATAAGGTGTAACATAAACATGTAATTCTCGAAACAATATAATAAAATTTAATTTGTATATATATTTGGGAGACGACACAATGTTTAAAGATGCTAAAATGTTGTGGTTTCAATCTTTTGTAGATGTCAATATTTATAAATATAGAAAAATATATATAATTTTTAAAAGGATGTTTTTTGTTTTAAAAAAAGAATATATAAGGGTATAGGAATGGAATGAAGCAGAGATTTCCAGCGGAACGAAATAGAATAAAGGAATAGGGATCTATTCCATTTACTAAAAAGAATAAAAAAAAAACGGAGGGGTCACGATTGGAGATTTGGTTATGTATTTAATGTGAGCACGCGCAAGTGGCGGTGCCTCTTTTCCACATTCTTCCAAATTCTTGTTACTCGCACGCTCACTTCTTCTTCTTCTTCTTCCACTCTTCTGCTCAACCCACCTGTAAGTCTTTTCAAAACCCATTCAATTATTTGGGGCTAACTACCTGAGAAATTCTAACTTTTTTTCCTTATTTTCATCTTTCCAAATTCTTTATTTTTCACACACTTCAGTTGCCATGGAATTTCAAATTTCTAAACCAATTTAATCCTTTTGTCTCGTTTTTATGTTAAAAATTAGGAATTTTTTGTCATCTAGGGTTTCAAAATTGGTCTGCAATTGCAATTAGTGCCACGAGATAAGATTTTTATTTTGGGGAATTTCAGTTTCTATTGCAATTTTTATCATTATTATTATTATTATTATGTGCAGAAATGAATTTTTGTTTGATATGATTATGATATAATATAACCCCTTTTTCAGGAAAATTGGTTGAGGGTATAACATCTAAGTAATCAGCATGCGTTGGTCGGGTCTTTTAGTTCATATGTTTCGCCAAGTTGTAAGCTTGAACTTATACTGTAAAGTTATTCTCTAGATTATCATTCCTTTGGTGTGTGCATTGCATTTAGATTCATTCAGTAGTGTGGTGAGGATCAAAGGAAGTTATGGTAGGCCAAGCAGCTGGTAAAACAACGTTTCGGGCATTAAAACATTGGAATGGCATTGAAGGTGAACCAGCGATTATTGTTAGAGTCATAGCGTGCTTTCAACCCTTACACGATTGTCAGGTCAGAAAATGTGCTGATAATTTTTTAGTGTTTGATGGAAGTTTTTTTCATGTATATGTTTTCTAAAGCATGTTATTAGTTTTCTGATGATTGAATGAGCTTATCGATTATGAATATTATGTTCGAACTTTTTGCAGGCTGATTACTTTCGTCAATTGCTTAAGCCGGTCACGTAATTGTTCTTTATCTTAAAGTTGGAATTTGTAGTTTTCTTTTTCTGTCATTTGTTCCAAGAGAAGCAGCAAGTTATTGAAGATCCCATATCAAAGAACCAAAGCGAGTTGTTCTATTGTTCTTTGGGACTTTTTTTGGGTTCGATGGTTAAGGCTGATGAGTCTTTGCCTTTCGCAGAGCATGTGGCTTGGCCATCTCTTTATTTGAAAGGCGCCAGCACATTGCCGGATCCTAGTTTTTGTGGTCAGTCAGCATATCTGAATCCTGGCATATGCACTCTTCCGACTCTCAGTGCATTTCCAGGGTTCACAACTCCTGCTACTCCAAGCCTGCAGACTGATCAGACCAATGAAGTGCGAGGGTTCATTCAGGATCCCAAAACCGGACCGTGTTTGAAAGAAAGAAATAATTACGGAGCTATGCAAAATGGAAATTCTGCATCTTTGCAGAAGAAATTTATTATATTTGACCGGTCTGGTAATAAGACAAGGTTGTTTTATAGTCCTGTCTTCCCACTTAATCAGAGTCCAATTGATACTACTATGCAATTCGCTCAAGCTTACGAAGTTAATCAGGACAGATGGGCAACTAGTTTTGGTCAAAAGCATTTACCGAAATACAGTTTGCCTGATGAGTCTGATCAGGATCATGTAGTAAATGAAGAAAGTGAAATGCGTGAAAACACAGAAGAAATCAATGCATTGCTTTATTCTGATGGTGATGAGGATGATGATGAAGACGACGAGGTAACAAGTACAAACCATTCTCCATTGAGTAAAAACCCATTTGAGGACATAAATGAGGACGTTGCTAGCTCTGATTGGCCAAGCAAACGGCATAAGCTAATTGACGGTGGGTATGCAAGATTACCTCCGCCTCTGAACAGTGCTAGTTCAGTAAGACTAAACGAACCATCTGAGTGTGTCAGCGATGCCGAGTCCAAGTACTCTGGTGGCCAAATGTATTTTACCAGGAAAACCGAAGAGGATAATAATTCAGCTGTTGGTGATATTCAATTGAGAAAGGCTAAGATCCGCGAATCATTGAAAATTCTCGAGAACTTAACTCCCGGAGCAAAAGGAAAGCATCCACTGTTAGTCATCGATGAAACTATGGATTACTTAAAATCTTTGATGTCTCAAACTGGAATGCTTGGGGTAAAATATCACTAAACAATAGGTATAAATGATTGAAAAGGTAGTCTTTGTTGTGTTCTTAGTTCTTAGCTTTGTTGCATGGTAATTCTGAACATAGCATGCTTTCTACTGTTATTCTCATTCTCAAGGTATATTTATGGTTTAACAATAAAGTGGCAATGAAAAGCAACTACATACAGTAGTACTGCAAGTACTGCAATTTGCCACTGAAGAAAAATGTGATTTGGGTTTCATTTTGTTGACCAAAAGTTTATTTCTTTAAGCTTTTGGAGATAAAGGGTCCGAGATAGAATTGACAGGAGCATGATTAGTGGATGGTTGTGCTGTAAATGATGACAATTCCCTTAAGAAAATGTTGAATTTGTTTGTGATTATATGCATGCGCGTTTGGTAGCTTTAGGTCCCACATTCCACCCTTGTCCTTTTGATTCTGGATTATGCTTTTGTGATATCATATGAGATATTGGAGTGAGTAGAGTCTAAAGTGGGAGAAGAAAGTTTCTGATGTTGGGGAGCGTGGTGTTTGATTTCATCATGAATTGATGGGACCCTTTTGTTTGTGGTGGGTGGAATGAATGGCAACAATTCCATTTTCTACGTTGTCATTGAGAGGTGTGTTGTGTTTGTTGAGTATTCCATTTAAGGTTTCATTTTCATGATGTAACTATGTATTTATGGGTCGGTTTAGTGAGAATGAGTCAATGTTGAGACAGTAGTCTATTATGGTTTCAGTGTATCTTGGTGTTCTATGGTCACACACGTTAAAAAAAATCTTGTTAGAAAATTTGGAGATGAATTCAAAAAAAATATTTAAGTCACACTGTTACAAAAATATAAGTGTTTGTGTGTTTGTTGAAATAAATTCTTTAATATAAATGTGTTTGTGTGTTTGTTGAAATAAATTCTTTAGTCTCACATTATTTAGATTATTTAGATTAGATTAAGACCAGATTAGATGATTTGGTTAATTTACTTGATTATATAAAAATGAATGCACATGTTTCATTCTAAAACACATCGAAAGTATCTTGAGTTTTTCTTTCACTCTTAAGTGCAATAAAACACATCAAAAGTCTCTTGAATTGTTTTATCCTTGAGGCGTTGTAGTTGAGTGTCTGTTTTGCACAATTTTGAGTTGTGTCGCAAAACATTTTATAAAGAGTATTGCGAAACGTGACACAGTCTGCGACTTGACGTAGTAATTTAGTCAATGACAAATTTTTCAAAATTGTAAAACAGGCGGTTCCGGACATTGCATATTGCTATGGCTAAAGATGCAAGAAACTATAAACTAAAGTATATTGAAAATAAGAAGTAATATTGATTAATGCAATACATTTACAATAAAAATCTTCTACCATCTATTTTTTTTTTTAAAAATGAGTTAAACTAACATCATTGTTAATTATTCTGAGAACATCTCTTTCTTTAAAAGTTACAAGACATTTATTTAACCATTGATCACTCTTTTTGTTACATAACTGACTCTTCACAAACATCATAGTTGGAAAAAAACGTTTCATACTTGCATTTACAATATTCAAGACTATTATAACCAATTTTAGAGGCTTATAAACTATATCAAATGTTTTACACTTATTTGTTTCCACAAGTTTTGCATAAAAATTTGAAAAATCCTTTTAACTTACCAAATTTTAAGTCACATAAAATATTTCTTACATAATTTTCAAGTTGATGTTGCATCACCACTTCCGACATATCTATAAAATTACTTGGATAACGTTCAACTATGTTAGCAGCGTATCTAGGGGGGGGGGGGGGGGGGGGGGGGGGGGGGGGGGGGGGGAGGGGGAGGGGGGGATTTGAATAAACACTCCTTTAAAAATTTAGACAAAAAATTTGATTTTAAAAAAGATATTTTATCAAAGGGCGACGCAGAAGCTTTTTCAAAATATCATCTATACGAACATTATTGGAGACTCCAATATGCAAACCGTAACAACAAATTCAATATAGAATGAGACAACAAATTAAATTAATATACTTGAATCACTTAAAAGTTTATTGCAAGTTACTAGTAAACCTATTTTCAATGAATATTAAAAAAAAACGAGTTGAATCAATTTATCAAATACTTGGTGTGCAAGTGAATTTTCAGAATTTTTTCTTTAGTTGTGTTGATACACAAAATCACTTATAATCAAAAGTGATTATAAGCTATATCAATACTTGATTTACAATAAAAAACAGTTTAAAAAATTCTTACAATTCAATTGATAACGCAATGCTATTTGACAAATTGATCTATGAATATCAAAGCAAGTAAAAGTAAAAAGTAAAAGAGACACCAGAAATTTGTCTTCATAGTTCCCCACTGTCGTCCTCGCGTGTGGGTAAGTCTGCATCTAAGTCTAATGGAGTTAGGATAATTCTTACTATACAAAAGATTGATACAAGAAAAGTATTTAAGAGAAACTCCACAAACCCTAAGCTTGTTGTTGATTGAACCCTTTCTTCTCTTTTGATCTTGAGAAAGACCAAGACACAATAGATGCAAATTGACTATCTGGATCTCGCTACTCTTTTGTATTCTTTATCTCCAAAGCTTTCACGCACCGTCAACTTCAACTATTGCAACACAAGATTTCAATTGTAACTCTCCGTTCTCTCGCTACTTCCTTTGCGTTATTTATCTCCAAAAGGTCCCTTGAGTTCTTTATCTCCAAAGGACTTCACTTGACCACAATTACCTCTTGAACGTCTTGCATGAAAACCCCTAAATTAACTAATGATCTTGGGGGATAAACTCACAGTTTTTCATGGATGAAGATCCTTACAAAGTTCAACCTAATACACAATTGGACACTATCAATCCTCTTTTAGATGACACCCCAACGGAACATCGTTATAATATAATGTCAGTGTGAATGCATAGGTTGAAGGTTGAAGATGAAGAGAGAAGTAGACTAATTTTATGGTTTCACCAAATTATGAATGATGTATGAATGAGTATTTATAGTTTTGAAATAATTAGGGCAAGAAGGATATGTTTGGAAGTAAAAGCATTAAAAAATTCAAAACATTCAGTATGTGTCGACATGCGTATCATATGTGTCAACACATACTTTATTTTTAAGTTGCCTGTGTCGATCTGTGCAGGGTTATATGTCGAGCTAACCAAGATAAAGGCTACATGCTTTAAAACGATAACAAATATGTCAACCTGAAAGATGGATGTGCCGACACATAAAATAAGAATTTATGTAATTTTAGAAATGCTTCAGTATGTGTTGATCTATTCAATGTATGTGTCGACCTGAGTCTTACAGAGGTTACATGCTTTAAAAATGAGTTGCATGTGTCGACCTGAAAAGCGGATGTGTCGACACATGCAACAAAAATTTGAGCAAACTGATGTGTCTGCAAGTGCATGAAAATATCGAAGTAATATAAAAGATTATCGAACCCACAGAGACCAATGTCAACCTACTGTAATCTATTGTCGCTTTGTAAAGCTAAGACTAATGGATGATTGATTAAGGGGAGACTAAGACTAAAATAAAGACTAAAATAATATTAAATAAATATATAATAAAAGAGAGGCAAAAATGTGGATTTCGCGTGCCTCAAGGACTCTGTAACTCATGGCTTTTAATTATACTAAGGTGTATTTCGTAGAAAATATTAATTTAAAGATAATACCTCACACTCTCGTGGTTTTAAATAAAATCACGCTCCTTAACTGTAGGATTTTGTTCTCGCTCGCCCACTTGAATCAAGGAACGAGTTTTGAAAACTAAACAATTTCTAAATAATCCTAAAGCACTCTCCGTGTGTTTAGGATTAATGCCTAGTTTCTACTATCTGATTCGACCACCACGCTCTCGCGGTGCCGGCTAGAATCTTAGTTAATTTCCCACTCTCGTGGAAAAATCGTGTTAAGTAACCTCTCACTCTCGTGACTGGGCTATTTAAATTAAGTTTAAAAACAAAGACCAAAACAGAAATTTCAATTTAATTAATTAAGCCAATGTTGTTACCGAGTCTCGTCGGAAACGATCCTCACATATCAGAATCAAAATATTTAGCTAGACATGAAATTAATTAAAAACGAATTAAACATATCAACTGCAATTAAAAATAACATGATAATTAAATTTGACAGACAAAGCAATAATGATAAATAATGCGATAAAAAAAACCTGTAAAGATGAAAGCTTTGAAACTGAAATAAACTTCTATTATAATGGAAAGATTGTGATCCAAGAGTACAGAGACTGTAGGTCTAAAACTAATGGTGTGGTAGTTCTTTGATGCGAGAAACTACCACTTTTACAAATTTGATTTCTGCCTAAAATTACGAATAGTGCTTCCGCGCATAAACTTGGATGCTCAAACAATGAATGCTAGGTCCTTTATATAGTGAGAAATGCTGGAAGTTATCATGTGAGAGGTAATGGAGATAATGGAGATCATGGTCGGAGAAGTTAGAAAATCATGGGGTGAGTGGGTGAGATGGTGGGCATGGAGAAGGCTGCAAGAAAATAAATATGTGGCTGCAAAATGAGCTGTGACGAGGGCCACAGTATGCATGGTGAGAGCCACAGGTGTGAAGAGTGTGGCGAGGGCCACATGTCCAAAATGCAGTTTTTCTGTTCTTTTTGCTTATTTCTTCCATTCTTCTTAGTATCTTGGTCATTTCTCTATCTTTTCTATATGGAAGCCTCGTGTTAGAAAGTACCTGAAATGAAATAGAAATACTGGCATAACAAGATAAAAATGAACGAAAACAAAACTAAAATGCATGCGAGTTGTGATACGGTGGAAGAACTGACTTGAAGGTTTTGCGTTTGATCGCAAATGTTACGGTTAGCAAGAGTCGCCATCGACTTTTCTTTTATCCAAAAGAAAAGGTGAAAAAGCACAGGAAAGACCTTTGAGATTGTTTCTTGAGTTTGAGGGGTAGATTATGAAAAGGGAAGGTATTAGCACCCTTTTCATCCATGGTTTTCCATGGCTCTTAGTTACTTGCTAGATCACTTGCTTTTGTTTGA